TCCTTACATTAATAAAAACAAATTGACTGTACAGAATTTGTAAAGATTTCCACTTAAAATTTCAATGAGACTTTAAAAGAATCGTAAGAATAGGAATATGCGAGTTTGAGCATTGTTTATTCTATAAACTGAAAACGGTAGCGCTCCCCTTTATCATTGTTATGATGAACACGTAACAAGCCGTTTAAGTTGGTTCACAATTATACACTGTTTAATTTTTTACACTAACACTCCATTGTTTTACGGCCGCAGACCAGTCATCATAGTTACACATCCATCACACAAGGGATTGTTTATTTATAGTAACTTTTTTTTTAACTTGTGTAATGTGTTTAATAAAAAACCAAAGGCCACTAAAATAAACTTGGATGTTCTTTTTGATGTGTAACATCTTTCCTCTCGCTTTCCAGCAATTTGTAGGAGTGATTTCGTGAAATGGGAAGGAAGTGTGTGAACAGGAAGTAGCGAAAGCGCGCGCTATTTGATTTCATTTTTCAAAATAATGTTCAAATTATTACATAATCCTTTTGTAGTAGGTTTTTTTTACTAATATAAGGTGAGGTTTCAAATATTACACATCATACGCGACTACTGTAAGGCTCGCTCGTTTTTTTTTAAACTGTTCCCTTTGCTTTAGTTTTGTATTTATATTATTACTACTAATATGTGATAGTAGAATATCAGGTTGTATAACTATAGAAGGTAGTAAACAATGTCCTGCTTACTTACTTCCTAAAATTTAAGTCTTCGTAAAAACATTTATTTTACCAATAACGTTATGTAATTGGGTACTTAACTGTTTAAAGTCATCAGCTTAGATTATGATTAGTCATTAGCTTTTATTCGAAACATCGCTATTGCTGACTTTTTGTAGCTGTTATTTGATGACGAACCTAATTGTACGCTTCATATCCGTTTTACTAATCATCAATTTATTAGATGTCGGTCCTTTAGTTTTCAATTTGGTATTATTTCCAAGTCAGCAAAAATATTCAAGTCCAATATCACCGTGTAAGCCAGTATTAGCATAGTTGTGTTTGCGACAAAAACTTCGTAATAGAGATGTTATAACAATACTTATACGTATTTCTTTGAATATATTAACCTTCACAACATTACATGGTTATGTAGAATTGAATAAGCTGGTGAAAAGCTAATTGTTGCAGCCGAGTAGACAGTAAATGGAGTTGCTTAGATGGGATATTTTCAATGTATGTAATTTACTATTTCTTTTACTTAAAGAATGTTATATTTGTAAAAGTTTCGACAAAGTTTGTCGTACTTTTCTTCTTCTAACAAGATACGCTAAAGGTGGTGTCACAGAACTTGCAAAGTTGTGTGGTTTTTGGGACGATTGATTTGGTATATTTTCGTTAAAATCTGGAAGCTGAGCATAATTTGCGTCTTGCGCAGCTCTTGCATCTTGTTTTAATAAAACTTCCTGCTGTTTTTTGTTCGACATCATTGTTTTCATTTAACAATACAGATAGCTATTGTCTGAGAGAAAGACTAGTCAGATTTAACACAAAAACTGTAACAGCTACGCGACAAAAAGCACTTGGCCTTGTGATTGACCGCGAAAACAGTAATTCCTGCTTCACTGAGTGCCCGATGGCCGGTGAGGGAGATGACTTTTTGTTTCGATTGCTATGACCTTGACATGATGTTCAGATTGACTATTTTGGCATTTATTTCTATGACTGACCACGCGTAATCTGATTAAATGGCTTGTGACTAATTTTTCTTTACCACCACGGTTCACACTCTGTTACACCACGAGACGCACCTAAGAGACTTGTGACAAATGTGTTTGTAGAAACGAAACGTTATTTGGGGACAGATTTTCTTGTTAATAAAATAATATTGTAATTAAAGCATGTGATATATGGAAAAGAAAAATAAACCATTTAAATATTTAGCTTTTGATTGCCTATGTGTTATCATAAGTGAACTCTAGCTTTTTATAATCCGAATCAGTTTTATGGTTAGGTAATTTCTTTATTTTTATGCCAAAAGTCCAGAACGACTTTTTATCAGTAGAGTAGGTAGCATTCAATTTCTAAGAAATTTCATGATCTTTAAGCAAACGAGTTCGTTTATTATGACAGATAACAGTCGTCACTCCTTACTCATTCATATCTCGCTCTTCAATGACATCACGTTAAGTGAATACACACAGATACCTGCCTAACTTTCGCAATTGGCAATCATTACACAACCTCGTACTACTTAGGAGGCACTTTATATACTTATGAAAATTACCATTTCGATCAGATGTGGCCCCGATCGATATCGTAGTCATAATTGTTTAATAAAGAAATGCCGACATGTGTTCAAGTGCCAAGGTGCGATAAGTATCGTAACTATTTTTCTATGATGAAGGAATGCCATGGTCAGCTTTGTTCAATTGTTCGAGTATGTGTTAAATTGCTGATTCTTACAATGCTATTAGCTCATATGAAACAAGTAGTTTGTTTTAAAAAACTAATAGGAATTATCTTATTAATTCATTAACTTGTTTGAGATTTTTAAATTAAAATGATAAATGCCGAAATAAATTGAAAATTGCAGTAAGTTCTACTCGAAAAGAGTAATAAGTTACTTATATCGCAAAATTTAGCGTAGGTTCTTACGTACTCATAAACTTTAACTCCTTATAGACCAGGGAAAATGTCTTTAAAAATCGTAAAAAGTGAAAAATATTCGGAACATGATAAAAACCAAATCAAAAGGAAGAGAACACTTAAAAAAAATGGGTGCGTGTACATATGTAGGCGCGTGAGAAGTTATCCTTCTTTGGCATCGTTTAAAATTAGTTTTTAATTGCATGCAAATAATTAATCACAATAAATTAATAATAAATGTCATTTCATTTCATTTCATTTAATTTCATTTCATTTAATTTCATTTCATTTCATTTCATTTCATTTCAATGTCCCGTTCAAATCTGCCCTGTTTGCTTTGTTCAAATCTGCCCCACGGTCACTTGGAAAATAAAATATTACAAATAACGCGCCCGCGGCTATCTTCATTATGTTAAAATTTTGTGTTACAGTGATGAAAATTTCACTCTCATAATTTTTTCATAACGCGGCTAATGAAGTATAACTTCAAAAGAGGAAAATAAATTGGTTTGATAAAATAATTGACCTGATAAAATAATAAGACTGCTTTAGTTACGTATTGAATAGAATACATTTGATGCTTTGGCAATAAACACTACCAATAAACAATCAATAACAATGTCATTTTAACTTATAATAATTATATAAAAGCGAGTATAAAATGAATTCTGGTTTTCTGTCAAACGATTTACAAAAGTGCACTTCATGTTATAAAAATTTGGAGTCTGTCTCTGTCCGAGTCTGATTCGGAGACTGACTAGCACCCTCCATACAAAGTTGAACCATGTCCTTTCTGCGAAAAATCAAAATAAACGACTTTTGGTTGTTTTAATAAAAACTTTAAAAAGAAAATGTAAAAGCAAAGGTTGTAGATCTTTTAATTACCTACAATATTTCCTATAAACTTTTTTCTAAAGGAGTTGTAATTTTCCCGAAAATCGTTATAAACCCTCTTAAAATATTGAGAATCGTGTCTAACGCATTTGCGTTTTACTGAGAATTTTTTCCATATAAATGTATATTTTTGTATACCACAACCAGAAAGAAGAGGTTCCAAAGAACAAAAAGCGCACCAAAGTTAAGTAATTAAATCATATTTTTGACTGGAGATTTTGCGATTGAAAATAAGGTTACTTTTTCGAAATAATATCAAACTCAGGGGAAATAACAAATATTTTGAATCAAAAAATGTAGAGCGTGTTTGGGACATATGTAAGAAGGGAAGTTTTGCCCAAATTTTGTGAAAAAACATCAACAAAACCAAACAAAAAAGATGGTTATTTTGATTTTTGAAGAAATTTTCATGTTATGTGAAAGAAGTGTAAATACAAAAGTTGTAGATTGATTACCTATAATTTTGCCATTGATTTTTTTTTTGATAGAAGTTCAAAAAATCGCTAATAATAAATCGCCCCCTTGAAAGATTGCCCACCATCCTCCCAGACCTCAAATTATTATTTATTTCATATGTTTTCACACACCACTCATTAAATAAAACCATTTTTTTCAACTAGTTTCAGATGCGTTTATTAATACATACTTTTATACATTTCTCTACGTTCCGGATCCTGTACACTCCAGGATTGAACAATTACATCATTATTAAAATTTGCTGTTTTATGTACAAGGAAAAATGCTGATTGTCAGTCAGGTTAGGTTAGGTACATAATTTCCTTGAATTTGTTATTTGCTATTGCAATAGTGGTTTCATTGTTTCATCTAAATGAATAATAACTTCACAATTTTTACGACAGTACCTCAAGCACCAATAACAAGCGAGAAAGCTTCAATGAATATATACGAATACGGATCTGTCAAAATTCGTGCCTGGGGTACAGAAAACACGCTGTGCATTCCTGTTTACTACTCATATTACTTAGCTTACATTTCATCTGAGTTATGCAATAATAATTACGATTTCGTCTTCAGAGTCCATAAAGCAGACTACGACCGCATAGTCAGAAGCCAAATAAAGATAATTCTGGTTAAATCGTTAAAAGACTCCAAATCCATCAATATGTTAGTAGATACATAATGTTTGAATGCGATAAAAGTAGGTAGCACAGGTAGATAGTTTAATCACACTGGACAGCAAATAAACCGGGCCACTTACGACCTTGAAGCTCTGATCAAATTACTAAGGTTTTTATTAAGAATTTTCCAAAGAAGAGACATTTTCCAATTGTTTTAATCGGTAGTTGAAAACGTAGCAAAAAAAAATACACACGTTCGAGAAGACTATGAACAAAAACTAAAGAAGTGATAAGAAATATCAGACTGTCTTAACTGCTTATGATTGATCTTTATCTAAATCTGGTTCAGGTAGGTAACTTGATCTGTTTGATGACAAAAAGGCTAATAGAAGGTTTGTTACAGAACGGGCGTGTCATAGAAAGGCAGCAGGATGGGGGCGATGTTCAGGAGCGAGGAGATGGAGCTGTGCCAGCTCTTCATCCAGCCAGAGGCCGCATACACCTCGGTCTCCGAGCTTGGTGAAGCCGGCACCGTGCAATTTAGAGATGTAAGTGATTACTCCCTTATTATGTCATAATTTAAAATTAGAAAGACTTATTATTGGATAACCAGATCAGTGACCTGCAATTGCGCTTTTGATATCAGTTAACTTTTTCTAGTGTTGCTTATGCCAGCAGTACGTCCTACCTACGTAGTATCAGCGCCATCTCTTTATATATTTGCGTTAACTAATCTTTTACCGCCGAATAGTTTGAAGAAAATTATAATAAAAGCCGAATGTTTTGTTAAAAATTCAATAAAATTATCTTTACCCCCTTACATGAAAAGGAGACGATTTTGTTTCTTTTTTAACCCAACGTGTGACACATCATTGTCTCGAGCTCGAGTAGGTAATATAAATAGGTTTTTTATTATTTTTTATTTTCAATAACAACGAAATGTAGCAGGGCGGGGGTACGTCAAAATTATCATACTTAGACCATTTTTGTTACGTCGTCCATTTCAAAATTGAAACTAGTCAAGAATGTGAAGTTATGGTTTAAGATGCTATTTTTAAACAACAAATACTAAAAACGCTGATTCATAATGTACTTTGTAAGTTGTGACGAAAACGTACTTTATAATTTTTTCTTTCGCCATTTGTTGCGATGACTAGCTCAGAAACGAACTATTTCATAAGTCAGTGTTACAAGGTAGCTTCAATAACAGGATAATATGCCAAGAAGTAATGTTGCCTTTGTTTAAAAAAAAATAGTTCATTGTACGGAACCCTAATAGAGCGAGGCTAGACTCGCGCTTAGCCAGTTTTTATTCGTTACGGAGATTATAATTTGTCTAGATGCAGTATTACTTATTCACAAATGCTAATCACGTCAATACGTCAGCTTTTATATGAGCTTAAGACATCGACGGCTCATAATGTAATGACACCACTATCGATAACGAATTATAAACGGTATACATTTCATTGGATGCAATCAACAAATGGAACCAAAGAAATACGAATTCGTCTCGGCTTTAAGACATGATTGGCTATCGAATAATAGGCACCTTAGGATTTTTACAGAAGGTCACATTAGCCGTAGTGCTTGCGTTGCAGTTTGTTATAGAGATAACAAGTTTATTTTATGAACACAGTACCCCCTTTTTTAGCTTATACATCAGTATTCATAATATCGCCATCTCTGAATAAGTCACAAAATTTCCGGTTCAGAGCTGATCAGGGTAAAGTGTATTCTAATTATAATATTACCTCAGAAAATATGATCATGTGTCCGCGTATCGTTCTGACTTAAAATGGATGCCTATTAGGCAGCGCAGATGTATGCGGGCTCTGACCACTTTGTTCTCTTTGTTAGATTCTCCAAATGCCCCCCCTTATCTCACTTCTCAATTTCAGTACTTATGTACCTCTCATCCTAAAAACCTTCGATCTTCTTCTAATCATTTACTTGTCGTTCCCTCTCACCGCTCTGATATCACTCACTCTTCCTTCTTCATCAAAACAATTCATTTGTGGAATGAACTCCCGTTGGCCATTAGAATGTCCACCAGCAAATATAGCTTTAAAACCAAGCTGCGAAGCTTTTTACTGGAACAGACAATTTCGTTTAGTAGTTAGTCGTCATTATTATGTATTAATTTTATGTAGTGTTATTTTATTATATGTTTACGTATGTGTATGTTTATATATGTATATATATATGTATATATGTATGTAATAGGCTAGTTGCCTATATTTTAAAAAGTGGTTAATAATATACCTTGATGTTTATTTAACCCCAAAAAAATATTATTTTAAATAAAAAAGTACATTAGCAATACGTATTTTGTATTTTAAAAAACTTATTCAAATTTCCCTCGAAAACGCTCTAGACTGTCATGGCGCCTAGAATGACGTCACGCCGTGCAAAGCAAACAATACGCTGTACGCCGACTATTAAAATTATTTAGTTAAAAATGAATCCATCGTATTACAAGTACTGTATAGTGTCCTAGTATAAAAGGAGAAGCATAAAACGCCAGACAAATTATTTATATGCCACAAATGCGGAAAAAATGCTTAGAACTTGCAAGGAGGGATGGTACCTATTCATTGTTTATCAACAAATACAAGAATCATTTTGTGATGAACATTTTGATGTAAGTATTTTGCATAACATAATCAATGAAATCAAAATGTTATACAAGCCGGATAAATTATATTGCTCTTTTTTTGTTGGTCTGAGTGCATTATATTGATAAAACAATGACAATAGGTTGAGGTTAAGTAAGCTGATTTAATTTTATGGTATGATTTAGAGTCTATTTGAGAGTTCAGTATATTTATTCATAATAATAAACACTTCTTATTCTTGTTCTAGTTGCCAAATGATATGCTTAATTATGTCGAGTAGTTATGTGATTAATTTTTTATTTTGGTTAAAATATTATTATTTGCTTCGGTAAATCCCAATTCCATGGATTTATTAGGCTTCCTTTCAATACTTATCTGAAAACAAACTGATAATTGTATCAAAGTAACAATAACATGAATGAGATATCAATGAAATGTATGGAAACGGCAACCACAAGTAATGTTTTGCACGTGGTGACGTCAGTCTTTCTGATTGGTGTTTGCCGTCACGTGATCTAATGCCTATTTTATTCGAATTTATTTTCTAAAAATAATAATAATCTTTAATTATTATGATATATAGCTTTATTTTTTGTTATCTGTATATCATAATTCATATTTAGAAACTGTAACCCATTCGATTTATTGTTAGTTGACACAAGCCTATTGTATATAATTACTGTGTAATTTAATTATTATATATTAATATAATATTTATGTTGAAATGTGATTTACTGCTTTAAATGTGATTTCCACCTCACATGTGCACCCTACCACTAATCTTCTCCACAACACCCTATGGTTGACTGGTAGAGAATGACTACGGCATTAAGTCCGCCATTGTACAATTGTGCATTAAGAATTAAATAAATAAATAAATTAAATATTATGGATTACGACTTCGTAACTGTTATAAAACCTATTTTTGGTTATATAGGTACTTAAATGTTTGTTTTTAATCTAAAATTTAAATATTTGTCAAGTCAGCTGATTTTACTTGTCAATTAAAACGTCATCACGCACGTACAAACTTCTATTTCTATAATTATACAACAGTAGATATTTTTAAAAGCTTAAGCTACGCTTTAGAAAAGTTGAAATTCGCCATCTCTTTGTCTTTTTTAAACTCTTACCACGTTACCTTTGAAATCCCACATTTTAAGTTGGTAAATATCTTAGGAAACTAAAATATAAATAGGTTTTTAGAATAGGAGTTGAAAGTTATACTATTTGACTGACTTGACGTGACTTTCTTACAATATGGGTTTGTTGTGTATTGTATTTCAACAGTGCATAAGTACCTACACTTACTTTCTTATTTGTCTGTCATTAAAGCCAAAAAAGAAAGTATAGGTACTTCTCGTGTTAGGGGAAATTATTGAACGTGACTGTCGGAAGTTAGTCAAACATATTATGATCATTCGTCTACATTAAATTAATAGATTTTCGCCAAAAGGTGTTTAGATATGTAGGTATATTGGAGAAAAGTGTTTACGAAATATTAATAAGGCTCCCAGATAACTTTAAAGACTCTTTATCACCCACAGCTTGTAAAAGATCGAATAAAGATTTCAAAGTCGTTTTATATAATTCGACGAATGCCAATTAAGTACATTTATGATTTTATAATTTCATCTTTCTCATTATAAGCGATGGCTTGGAGGTGGGCTGTATTTATTAATCAAATAAAAATTTACACTATAAATAAGTAGTTTGATGTATATTCTGGACCATTTCACATCAACAACAGCTAGTTGTAACGTTGAACATCATATCACATATGATATAGAAAAATATAAAAAGTATTAAAAGCCTTATAAAAAGAGGCTAGTAAATATATTCCACAGATGAGGTGAGGTTGTCGGCAAAACTCATCATGGTCATCATAAGGAACCATGCTCAGCTTATTCGATACATAGGTATTAAATTTCGTCGTGTCATTATCCTATTCCATGCCATTTAAACTACATTATGTCCTTCTTATTAATAAACAAGGAATAAGCTTAGACTATTTATACCATTTGTAATTCAATGATCAGAGACAAAAACATGGAGCAACTAATCCAAGCTTATACTTTGTTTATTAATAAGGGGGTATAAGTATAAGTTAGAGTAGAATTGATGACGATGACGGTATATCGACAGTCAACTTTAAAAGTTGGGGCCCCTAGCAAAGAGTATTTTACAGCTTTAGAATAATTACGCAACATTACTCGTAATGCACGGCACCACCCACAAACAGACGTCGTCCTGCATACGTGTTAAAAAACCCAAAGGTGATCCAGTATAGCCAAGACGGTTGAAAGGCTGCAAGGGCAGCCTTTCAACCGTCCTTACGGTAATTTAGCGTTGTAAATTTTTCCGTCACATTCGGAGATTATGAAAAAGATTATAGGCAGATTTTTTTTATAATTTATAATGCCATGTTAATACAAGTAGCACTACACAATTGAGTAGTTTCATAGAATAATTCCTTTCGAATGCACGTCTTTAAGATCCAGAAGTATTTCAAGCCAGTAAAGTTGACAAACATGTAGGTAATGGTTCAAGACCACGCTCTGTAAGAAAGAATGTTGCAAGGTCAGCATGTTTTTGCTGGTTGCACTTTTTATAGTACCTACAGCTTTCTTCATTTGAGTTTCGTAAAGGAAAAAATATATAATTTCACGAAGTTATGAATAAGATTTTTTCTAGTAAAATTTTCTTTACATCATCTATTTAACACTTCAAAGCTTAAATCAAATATAATTAACTAAAATTGCTATTTATATTTTTTATTTCTTAACCATTTAACTGCTGCATGTTTACACGCGGACCAGGCAGCAGACGGGACTCGAACCCTATCGCTATCGGTATTCATTTGACATTGTGGGTTACCTACAATGTGAAGAGATGGCGCTGCCTTACAGCCTAAGAAAGACAAAATTTTT